CTTGTTTCCGTGTGCGGATTACGGCCTGGTCTATGACATGCGAGAGCTCAACCACACAAACAATTATCAAAGGGATTTTCCCTTTGATAATTGAAAAACTTCTACTATGGAGATTCCTATCGACTCTGTTTCGTTGCCCGTATTTAGAAAGGTTTTGGAATACGTGTAAACCGGCACAATCGCCCTTCAAGCTGCAGATATATATGATGTTTGCTCGATATCTGCGCAGCTTGGAATCGGTAGTCTGCAAAGCATTGTCTTTTCCTACCTTCGAAACGAGGAGAATGTGCGTCAAATCGTCACCGTCTTAGATCGTGCTCTCCAAGACTCGGAACAGAATCGCTTACTCGTCGTGAGGCTCACAGAGTATCTGGCCGAAAACTGTTCCAAGTTACTCTGGCGTGCCCCGTATGAAGAATTATCTGTCGACCTTATGCTGCACATTGTCAAGCAAGAAAACCTTGGTGCTTCAGAATATGAAATATGGCAAGCGCTTGTGGAATGGGGATGCATGCAATGCAGCGTTTCGCCGCCAAAAGCTGTCTCGGCAATGTCTGAAAGGGAGAAGAAGCGAGTCAGAGAGTGCTTGCAGAGGTTTTGTCGGCCGGGGTACCTGCGCATTCTAAATTTCGACACAGAGACTTTCGCTCGCGAGGTAGAGCCGCTTGGATCATTTCCACCGGCCGAGATGCTTTTGAAGTATCGTTTTGACGTAGTGGCTGGTAACGCCGCCTTCGAGCATGCCTATCACGGAGACCGGTACAGTTTTCTATTGCGAGTTCGACAGCGAACCGCTTGTTATGAATCTACTAGTCATCCACATCCGAGAGGTGGGTCTCAAACGTTCAAGGTTCAAATGCCTCGGTGGGCGACGGAAATGAAAGTGGTTTTTGATCCACGGACGGCTCTGGGGCGATATTCTGAGCTTGCGTTTTGCACTGACGAAAGGCGCGCGATGCGGGTGTATTCGGTGAGGGCTAGTGAAGTGCCAGGGACAATGTGTCTGCTCTCCGATATGGAGACGACGACGCCATATTGGGCGCAATCACGGTTACAGAATCACGGTGAGAGATCCGGCGTCTCAGCGCGCGCGTTAGGAGTCGAACCGATTTACATTAGCGGGAACAGCTTTTGGTGTACCTTTTTGCTCTCCGCAGAACGTCGGCGATTCGGCATGGGGCTACAAATTTTTCGTTTCAATCGCTAGGTAGCTCAACCGAAACCGCAACAAACCCTGAGTTTTCTGAAGAATTGTTATGGCTTGTTTTGCAAGAGTTGACGCTGCCCTCTGCACCCTGCCAATGGTGAGAACGACGACAACTCATTCGTATAGTCTTTTTGGTTCTTCAGGCCTGGCATAATTTCCCGTTCGACACTCGGACGGTTGTCACCGTCACTAACTTCATGGCTTCGGAGGTGTCCTCGATATTGCCATCATATCTGACACCTGCAATACCCTACCATACATTCAATCGCATGCAAGTCACATGCATTGAGGCATGGGACAGCGATTGCAACATGCTCGTCTCAGCGCCTACTGGTTCTGGTAAAACGCTTTGCTTTGAACTTGCCCTTCTTCGCTACTTGCATCTTGCTCTCACTTCATTAGAGAAAAAGTACCTACCTGCCAGTGGTTTACCCAGGAAGGTGGTGTTTATTGCTCCCACTAAAGCCATTTGCATGGAAAAGGGACATGACTGGAAACGGCGATATGCGTTTCTCGGCTTACGGGTTGAAATCATGACAGGAGATGTGTATGCGGCAGGTTCCAATTCAATCTTGCTGAATGCTGACCTGATCTTGACGACTGCTGAAAAGTGGAATAGCCTCACGAGGAATACTTGTTCCCAAGCAGTACCCGGCGTTTTGTCCAATATTGCTTTGCTCTTCGTCGATGAAGTCCACCATATAGGGAACTCACGAGGTGGTACACTTGAATCTGTCATAACTCGCATGTTTGGCACCAGCGACCAACTCAAGCAGAACATATCATCTGCTCAAGTTCAGTCTCTGCGTGTCATTGCATTGTCTGCCACCGTCAAAAATGTCGGGGAGGTCGGACGCTGGCTACGAGTTGACCCGGAACATATTTTGCAGTTCGATCAAAGCTACAGGCCTATTCAACAGCTGATGAACCCACAGCTTTCGGACTTGCAGACAGCGAGTGTCGAGGATTCGGAACAGAAAGGAGGTAATATTGGATGTACGATTGGGTTGGTGTGCCTTGGGGTTGTAGGGGTTGTGCTGGCAATATTTGTTGTTAATGACAGCTCTACGAGGGGTCGCAAGTGCAGCAGCTGCTACCGCACCTGCCGCAGGTGAGGAAATGGCCTGGGAAAACGTCAAAGAAGTGTACAGAGATACAAAATATGAAAACTATAGCTCCGGCAGGTTATCGTCGTCCCCTTCGAGGGGGCCGGTGTTTGCCACTGTCTTTACTGGCTTTAAGGAACGCCTCATCCTCCTATCATGATCTATTGAAGCGTATCTCATCCTATTCTATCGCCGCTTCACAGTCAGCCGGGGGAATCTCTTCTTCCTGTTGCAAATTGCTGCTGACAAAAGGTGGGTTCTGAACCACGTCCCCGTCAGACCGCCGCCCATTGCAAAGATTGCCCATGGGTCGGGACTGCGGCATTAAAAACGCCTTTTTTAACTCCTCCATTTGGAGTTTTGCGCACTCCTCAAAAGACTCATCTGGGTCCAATCCCTGGGCTTTTAAAGTCTTGTAAAGGTTTCCCATGGACACAACACACCATTGGCGCTGATGTAATTGCTGCATTCTCGAATTTTCTATCTCGGTCTTCCTTTTTTTAAACGCCTTCTCTTTTCGTTCAGCGGCCTTCGCTCGCTTTTCCGCAACTGCTGCTTCGGAATAGGTCCTCCACGAGTGCTCAAACAAATTCTCCCCCCGATTAAAACTCCTGCGATTTCCCCGTCCGGACATCCCGCTGGTTCCCTGACTGCCACCCTCGTCACATCCCCTATCGAATGGGATCACCCTCGTGCACAAATTCGCAAACCGGGTGTCCTCATTTTCCGTTCCTTTCCGTGCGCAGACAAAAAGGACTACATTCCGCTTCCCTTCCGCGGTCAACTCCCCCCCCCGAGTCCCTGCGTAACTTTTAAAATTCCCGGTGTTGTTTTGTCCAGACCTTGACCAATTTTCCACACACGTCGTGAAGGACCTCCGTGCATCCAGAAATTTTTCTTTCAAAAATGTAGCCGACCGATGACAAGGCGGTGCCACCTTAGAGTCTACCTCGTCGACATTCCCAACCATGTTGAGATGAAGGCGCAAATTAGGATTGTTAAAGCGCTCTTCTATAACACCCCAGTATGAGTCTCTCGTAAAACCCGCATCCAGCTGACTCCTTGTCAGCTCCTGCCCTGTCCCATCCAGGGCGCATTTCGCGTCTTCATCATCCCGCATGATGACGCATAGGCGAGCGAATTCGCTGATGCTAAACGTGCCCAATCCGCTAACCGGACCAGCCTCTCTCTGACTGCCACTTGTCTCGTCCAATTCTTCTCCACCGTGATCTTCACTTCTCACAACTTGATCCCCATTTTGTCTTGCTTCCTCCAAGTTTCCTTTTTTTCTCTTGAACGTTTCAACCTCTTTCGCTTCCAAAAGCTTGAATAGCTCGGCATCGGCGGGAACACGGGAAAAGTAGAGCGGAGAACGCAGGTCGAGTGTCACACGCTGCTGAAGCCAAGACTCGAATCTGGCCGTTTCTGGGATCGAAGACATAGCAGCACAAATTGTTCGTCCAGATAAAGTAAAAATTTGTAACTGTAGAAAAGCTCGAGCGACGAGGGTGCCCTTGTTACCTGATTGTTTCCACCTCCATTCCTTCAATATGACCCTTAGTTGCTTGACATTTAGGCTTGACAAAAAAGAGAATGCCGCGCACTTATCATCGGCTGTCGAGGCTCTGAACTCACCAGCTGCTCGCTGGTCAACTGAGAGAACGCGAGCACCTGCCAATGGCTCCATTGGCGAATTATTTTGGGAGCCATCGACAGGACTATGTGCGGAGCGAGGAAAAGATTCTTGCTCTGATCTGTGCGTAAACTGCAGCACGCGCATAGTTTGGGCGTTTGGAGATGGCGGAGACGAGGGACATGGTCTAAGGAAACGAGGACTGCGACGGAGAATGAGGGGGGACTTTTGTGTGGTCATTGTGATGGGGATCGGAAAGCGAAGGGAGCGAGGAGTTGGTAGGGCAGGCCGCGGTAGGTTGGGTTCTGGGTGGGTGCTGTTGGGATACGAATTGCATCTCCTTCGGATGCCAGTCTCCCGCCGTTTTTCAAATATAGTGGCATTTGGGAGCATCAATAAAATGATTAAACTGAATTCGATATGTGCAAAATTGGATCTACATTGAATTCATTCACACTTATCCAGTGGCGATAGCCAATGATTTTGTTTTGCATGGCACGTTGGTAGTGATGGAAGCTATTATTTTAACATTGTGTGTGCCATCATACTGTTAAGAAAAGTATTATATAGACCAATCAGGTGCAGGCCGACGTCCATGCATGTCCACACATGCCCGTCCATGCTGTCTTAAAGGAGGCCCTCAGTAACATGACGGTTTTCCCCAAAACCTGTTAATGTCACCGCTGTCACGGCGCGTATGTCCCCGTCAGCCGCCAGACAATGCCTATATGCCTATACCGTATCTGCGCAGGTGCGTACAGTACACAGTTCGTAAATGCGGATGCCCATTCAATTTGCACAAGTGGCCTAATAAATAAAAATAAACTAGATGCACGCGGGGCAGTTTCGAGAAATAGATAGAGTGCGGTGCTGTTTCGAGGTGTCAGCACTTTGTGCTGCTGACCAAAGTGCAACACAACGCAGCATAGATGAGTGCATGCTCCAGCAAGCATCACGACTACGCTCGCAGCTCGCTGCGGCAGGGCACACTTCTGCCAAGTCGTTTCCTGCTCACGACTACAATCTATTCAACATTAGAGGTTGGACCTGCAAATTACCAGTCCTGCTCTCGGCTCTTGGAAGAGGGCCCAACTCTGCACATGCTTGAGGACAATGGCCGCAATGTGTTACACCGTGGTAGTTGCGTTGAAACACGTTTGACGTGGGTCTTGACACTCGACGAGGGCGATATACTGTATCCAGTACAAATCTAGTGCACATCAAAATTTACTTGAGCAAGATCACGCCCCTATCTGGTCACGGAATACATTTACAAGTGCCTGCCCAATGAAACCATCAATCCCAAACCCAACTCCTGTGCTTAAGCAAGGTCCTCTGCAAAGGGACTCTTTCCGGGCTTGTCCGCCATCACCATATTCGCAATTGACACCGGAGAGATGCCATCCGGGAAAGGTTCCACAAGCCTTCTTCTCTTACCACGGCTATCCCCAGCTCCACTTGCCGGTTCAGCTGCCTCGAGGTTCAGATACTGCACCGACGGCCCGGCGGCCGTCATTGGTAACTGATCTGGAAGGAGGACGCTGTCAATGTTTGGTGACTGCGCCAGATGAGAAAAATCCCGCTTCTGTCCTCGGCTGTCTGGCGCAGGCAGCGGAGGGAGCATCCGTTCCACCATCACCGGCGATGTTGCAACCGGCACTTGCGGCGTTGAAGGACCAACGAGCGGAGGCACTCCCGGCTGACCCTCATGGCCTAGGAAAAGGGAAATGTCTTCGTCTAGCAACCATTGCATAGGTTGCGTCGGCGCGAACGGGATTTCAGGCCGCCTTGCAGGTTCCGGTCTCACTTGTCCGCGCTTCGTTCCCTTCTGCTGATCCTTTCGTCGCGACTTTCGCTGCCGCTTCGGCTTAACCACTCGAGCCCCTTGCACGAGAGGGATCGTCGGCAGCGGCAGATTAGGCAGGACCATTTGAGGCAGCTGATGACCTTGTTGCGATGCTTGAGCGGCTTGTGCAGCCTGCGCGGCTAGCTGCCGGTTTTGCGCCTCCCTCAGCGCAGCTGCTGCTTTTCGCGCCCGGCGTCGGTGATTGTTCCTGGTGTACTGCTTACACCTGGCACGAGGGGGACAGCAGTTGCGACAATGCGTGCACTTCCACTTCACGCGGGGATCCTTGGAGATCTCGAAGCTCTCGCGCTCGTAAAGCAACAGACATTTATCACACACAACCTTGCGACACAGGCCAACCTTGGTGTTCGCACAAACGGCAAATTCGATTCGCGAATTCCGACCACAGACATGGCAATAGTTTGAGGCACTCGCCCCCTTGGAGTACCGATTCTTCGACTTCGTCGCTGCTTTTGGAACCTCCGGAATGCCCACCTGCCCCGACGCCTGAGTCACGTACGACGCCGCACTCGTCGCGCTTGGTACCCGATGCATCAAGCTTGTGTCGGCACTTGTTGCTGTCATGGCGCTGTTATATGGCGTGAGCCCAGAGTGCGCAGGAGTACCAATCCTCTGCATCGGAGCAAGACCATGGATAGCCACTCGTGGAGAAGGAATGAGCCACGGAGGAGCAAAATGTCCCGGTGAAAGGTGCGCAGGAGATATGTAGCCAGGAGACATATAGGAAGGAGGCATGTGCCCGGCATTAAGTGCACTCTGCAGGGTTTCTGGTACAAAGTCAGGAGACAATGGCGGTGTCCCTGTCTGAGTCTGCGTCACCCATGCCGGTGAGTGCAGATCGTGACCGATGTTGCCTTCGAAACACGTATGCGGTGTAAGTCCCGGTTCTCCTATGGACTGAGGATAAGGAGGCGAGCCAGGTGAGAGGGCCTGGAACGCCAACTCTGCTGGAGGGTTTCTACGCAGAGCCGATACAAGCGCGGGCGCGTCCTTATTTGCATACATCGGGGTGTCAGGATGTTGTCCAAGCAGCGGCAGATGTGCATTGAAGATGGGCGGCGAAACGGGGACGGGACTTGGCTGAATCTCATCCCGATCGAGATGGGCATTGTTCGGCTGAATCTCATCATCGACGCATTCTGCTTTCGCGTGGCTCACCGGAGTGCTGTGCATCTGACAGGCGGTTTGGTTAGGAGAAGACGCCGGTCGAGGAAGCGGAGCGGAAAGCAAGTCGGCAGGGATCTTGGATGTGTTGTCGTCAAGTTCCAAGTACGAGAGCTTTTTTGCGAGTGTGGGTAGCGGGGTTTGCGGCTCATCGATGGCAGTCTCGATCCAGTTCTCAATAAACTTGAAGTCGGCTGTTTCCGCTGCCGACGGGGTGCTGTTGAACAGGTTGTCAACGGGAAAGGTGGCTTCATGATGCTCGAAGGCAACATGATCTTCATGGTTGTCCATTATTGTAGCTGTAGTGGATGAAAGCTTGCGGAAGAAGTTTGTAGTTGACGTTTTGTTGATGAGTTGTCGTGTAAGACAAGTAATGATGAGAAAAGGCAATTAAAACGGTGTGAAGAGGAGGAACGAATGAATGAGACAAGTCGAAAGAGACCGGGGATGAGGTGCTCGTTACGCAAACAGTGTAAGGAAGAATGTCTGGGAAGTTTTGAAGGAGTTCTTTGATGAGCTGAGGGAGACTGTGGGACTGGGGTGAGGCAGCAGCGGGTGTGTCCGTTCTTCCCACCTCCTTGCCTTTATACGGGTAGGACGGGCATGATCAGAAAGCCCTCACTTGTCTGTAGCACATGTAGATTTTGGGCATACACAGCATAAGCGCCAGACAAGTGAATTTCGCAGGCGACTCGGCGATCATAGGGCTAGTAAGGCGTTGCTTAGGCAAAGCTAAGTTTGCGAGATGCAGAAGCGCCTTAATGATGCGCCGGCCTGAAGAGCGCGGACACCTTTGCGGATAAAAGGGCACATGAACGGCTGAGAATGGGAAATTCACCGGCACAATTTCGTGTCGAGGGAAGAAGAGCGGCCAGAGGTCCCGGAATGGTGATCATTAGTGCGGCAGAGATACGGGCGAGGACGGAATCTGCGACGGGAGGTTGTGCGCACGCGCGCGGCGGACTGCCGTCCGCCCGCCGATGCCGGCGGCCTCGCCGAACGAGGGCAGAGGTGAAGCCAGGTTTTGGCCACGCAACCAGGAAGGGAAACGGGCGGCTGGGCGAGGGACGAATTCATGAGGCAGGAGATCGGGCGGCAGATGCCGGTTCTACGTCCGCGTGACGCGATTGGTCCACGTCAGATTGGTGGACGCACTGCAATTCGCCTTACAGCACGCGCCTTTGGAAACGATCATTGCAGTACAGTACTGTTGTGGCTCGTCCTGAGACACAGTGATTGCCGAGAAAATCTTTTACCTCCTTTCGGCGGGAGGCCAGGCGTCAAGAACTCAAGAGTCCACTTGAGCTCCTTGTCGAGAAATCCACTCGATGCCTGCCTCCTCCTTTTTCTACGCCCCCAACTACCGCTTATGTAACCTTACTCCCCGCTGCTCGCTATAAACTACCACTACCCTCGATCGCAACCCCCGCACGTAGCCCGCCAGTCTTCTCTTGGCCCATTCCTGCGCCCAGTCCTCCGCTTGCGGTTCACGATCTCCTTGCCCGCCTTCCCTCTGGCCCGCTCCTGCGCCTGCGGTCCTCCGCTTGCGGTTCGCGCTCCACCCGCTCGCGCACGCCCTCGTCCAAACGCAATGCCGCGCGCTTCGCTTCGCCCTGTCCTCCAAGCGCAAGTCCCGCGCGCGCCCTTTCCTGCGCAGCGTGCATCCTTGGGCGCTGGGCTTACAGCATTCCTAACAGTACAGTACTGTTGCGCCTTGGATATGATTTCTACGCTACACGTGGCAATTGCGCGGACCGGCGCCCAGATCCCAAGACTGGATCATCCAAAGTGTGCGCGCACACTTTGGATGCGCGGCACCGCCCGACAGTGGCGGGCGTAGGTGGTTACGGGACCGGGGGAACGTTGGATCCAGGGATGTCTGGTGGTTCAAGTGAGACGTAGCCAGTGTCGGGGAGGTTGGGTGGGGGATCAGGAGGACGGCTCGAGCGAGACAAGCGGGGCGCACGGGCGAAGCGAGGCCGTTCGAGGTGAGCGGAAGGCGTCGGTCGGGCGGCTGGAGGAGAGGTGAAGGCGTGGGGAGGACGGTGACGACGGCAACGGGCAGGCGAATCGCGCCGATCGCAGAAGGATGAGGTCGACAGTGGGCGCACAAACGGCAGCCGTCTCGACTGGCGGCTCCCCGTGCCTACAACTGCGCGACAGGGGGCCAGCTAGACCTCGCTCCCAATTTATCAAGGGTATAAGATAGAAGCAGTGCGTAGATAGAGGCGGCATCGAGGAAGCAAGAGGCAACTTGGAGGTAAACTTGAAGACCAACATCAGACTTTGCGGCGCTCTCGATCGGTGAGGTATGGGGCTTGGATTGGCCGCAACAGTACAGTATACTGTAGAGAATTTTTGGTACAGTAGACGCCCCATCCTGCTCCTTGATTGGCTGTTTGCCGAAGTCACGTGCGGGTGTGCGGAGCACATGTCCCAGTTACTCGCTCGGTGCAACACAGAGCCGTGCATTGGACGCACGACTGGCATGGCAGGGGAAGGATGGTGCGGCGATATGCTTTCGGGAACACAGACCGCCGTAGTCAGCTAGTGTCTATCCGACCGGGGCTGGCCGCATATGAGCACAGCTCTTTTTTGCAAAAATATACAAATTAAAATAAACATTTAAAAGGCTATCTTGAACACCCTTCACGTACTTGTTTTCGGCGATAACCTCCTGCAGAACGCCAGGATAGCAGCTTTGAATACGCAGGAAGATTAAGAATTGAATGAAGATTTAGTTCCTCTTCGTCCTTTATACTGGCAGTTCTTGTTTCCATGTTATTTTACATGCGGTTTTAAGGTGATTTAAAATGGTTCTTTTCTACACATATCTAAACACGACCAGAAAGAAAATTCTATTCTGTTGAATTCGGCACCAGTATCAACCTTGATCCGCCACAGGGTTGGTACTGTAATGGACCGATGGGCAATTTGTGGGTTCTGAAATCGGACCCAAAAAATAGAACCATTGAATACGGACTCGAAATCAAGGTCCCCGAAATTCGGTGGTCCACGCACGCGCGAGCATTTGCGTCCACGCCGGATCCCCAGAGAGCTAACATGTGCTGCACCCGATAGCGGGTTAGTCGCCTCGTAGCCATACGGATGGTATTACTGTAATACGGCAAGTATTAGACCAATTACGGGTACTCTTGTCACATAGCACGTAATGTAGGGCTGCGAGAAACCTGTGAACTTAAGCACAAAGATCCGAGCAACGACAGCATAAAAACTACAGAACACAAAAACGAGTAAACCACGACGACATCTTCCGTGAGTTTTATCAGGTTATGCCGCCCAGGACGCCAATTGCGCACCTGTGAATCTGTCACGACACCAGGACCCGAAATCACAACTTTTACTGTACCGCTCGGCGCTTGAGTTCATCGGGCTACATCAGACCTGTGTTAGAACCCTCCGGGCTATTGTGGAGCATCGCTCCGATACCCGTCGAGAACAGAAGGAATCATGGACTCCATCAGAGAAGGCACCGTCGACACGTCAAGCTATCGCATCGCATCACTCACTTCAGAGAACTACTACCTCTGGGCGCACAAAATGGAGTTCATACTTCGCGCAAAGGGGCTTTGGAACATCGTAGCTGGGACCGAACGCCCACCAACTGAAGAAGGAGATCTTGCGAAGTATGAGAGGAGGAAGGACCTCGCGCTCACGACCATCGTTCTAACCATCGATGACTCTATCAGTGCTTCAGTTATCACGCTCCGTGATGCGAACAAAGTATGGACAACACTTCGTACTATGTTCTCTACTGTCTCTGAGGCTCGTGTGGATGCCTATCTAAGCCAGTATCAGAATGCTCGCATGGAATCTGGTGAGAAGGTGCTTCAATTCTCGAACCGACTCAACGAGTTCGAGAACAAGCTAGCAGCTATTGGTCACTCTCTAACCGAATCAGAGAAGAAGCGAGCACTGCTAAGGGGACTTGATGAGCACTTCGCCATTCCTGCAGGCGTGATTAAGGCTACTGCAAAATGTTATCATGATGCTTTGGCCTATCTGGTTGCATGTGAAGTTGAACATGAAGTGGAATCCCTCTCCGGCGCTGGTACCTCCACTACCGCGCTAACCACCAGGGAAGGGACTTGCGAATTCTGCAGGAAGATCGGACACAGCAAACAGGATTGCTTCTTCAATCCTAATAGCCCGAGCTACAGGCCCCAACTGGCGAAGAAGCGCATTGACAGACGCCGGAACCGCGGTCAACCGCGGAATCAGACGCCCCGCAGGAAGAGCTACCATCAGAAACGACCAGGTGACAGCGACAGCGCCTATGTGGACATCTCGCTGGCAACTACTAAAGACCATACCAAGACTAATCTGTCTGGGACGCTACGTGAGAAGTGGTACATCGACTCCGGGGCCTCCGCACACATGTGCAACGACACTGCACTATTTGAGACACTCGAGAAATCAACTCAAAAGCACTGCGTGTCCGTCGGTACTGGAAATCCCGCGGAGGTCATTGGTACGGGATCAGTTTTATGTACGACCACAGTAAGTGGTACTACGACCACAGTACGTTTTACTGATGTGTTGTGTGTCCCAACGCTGGTATGTAACCTCATCTCTGTTAGCAGGATGAGGAAGGCTAAGCTCAAAACCACGTTCGACTCGGACAGTAATGGAGATGGTATGTGTCAAGTCACTACGAGAGACGGCAAAGTGGAGTATCTGCACGGAATTGAAAGCACTTCTGCTGGACTGTATGAAGCGGTACTGAAACCGACTGCAAAATCCTCCGACGCTGTGTTGGCAGTCTCACAAGAGCAGTGGCACGAAAGACTCGGTCATGCCAGTGAGTCGACAATGAAGAAGTCCCTTTCCCTCGTACGTGGAGTTCAGCTACAGGACGTGAAGGACTTGTTGAGCTGTGAGTCCTGTAGAGTTTCAAAGTCGACCAGAGCCCCTCGACCATTGCGTGAAGAGTCCCGCAAGACCACAAAGCCGCTCGATCTCGTGCACACGGACCTGGTAGGTCCCTTCAGGACTTCTTCGCTTGGCGGGTGCCGCTACTTTATGCCCCTCTACGACGACGCATCTGCTTTCTCGCTAATAAGATTTCTCAAATCTAAGACAGAAGCAGGAGCAGCACTGAAGTCAATGATAATGGAACTGGAGAAGCTGAAAACTGGGAGCTGGCGCACGTCATTGGTTAGGAGGGTACGGTCTGATAACGGAACTGAATTCATGTCTAGAAACCTAAAGCAATGGTTGTCCAATCGAGGCATTACGCAGGAATTCACTGCCCCGTACTCGCCGGAGTCTAACGGCAAAGCCGAGCGACTAAACAGGACCCTTCTCGACATGTCTCGCACAATGATGGTGGCTGCAGAAGACCTTCCTCACAAAAATCGGATGTGGGCAGAAGCCGTAAACTTCTCAAACTACCTTCGAAATCGCATGTTTACATCTGCCGGGCACTGCCAGGACATGACACCCTTCGAGTGTGTCACTGGCCAGAAGCCTCACCTCGCACACATTCGGAAGTTTGGAAGCAAGGCATATGCCCACATCCCCAAGGCAAAGCGACGAGGAAAGTTTGAACCTCGAGCAGACAGTGGATACTGTGTCGGCGTTGGATGTGGAAATGGGTACCGCATATTTCTACCGCAACTACATGCAGTAGTCATCTCCAGAGATGTGCAATTCGATGAAACCAAATCTACTGTACCCCCA